AACTGCTAACAACTCCATCTTACTTGGTACAATCAGTACCCTTGCTACCAGTAGTCAGGAGATCGAGAAACATATTGCAGTGGGAGTCTGTAGCCAGGGACATCTCCAAATTATTGAGGAGCAATGATACCAGTTTGAGGACTAAGGTGAATCTGATTCAGAAATCAAAGCATATGTGTTTAGTTATCTCTAAAAGCAGGAAAATTAAACCAAATCCAAGGCAACCAAAATATGACTTTGAGTCTATCCCACCTGAATTTCAGAACCATCTCAGGTACAGGTTTGAGGCTTTAAACACTAATGAGCGAAGGCCAGATGAGTTGTGAGAGGATATCATCCAGGAAAAGTGCAAACGGTCATTGCAAAGACAAAAGAGGAAGAAAAGACCAAAATGGATGTCAGAAGAGACTCTGAAAATTCCACTGGAGCACAGAGAAGCCAAAGCACAAGGAAGAATTCAAGATACTAAAGAGTTGAATAGAAGATTTCAAAAGGCAGCACGGGATGACAAAGCAATATATTACAATAAAATGTGCAAGGAGTTGGAGCCAGAAAATCAAAAGGGCCGAAATCGCTCAGCATATCTTAAGCTCAAGGAACTGAAGAACAAATTCAAACCTCAAGTTGCTATAATCAAGGATGCTTTCGGCAGAACGTTAAATGATCCCGGAAGTATTAAAAGAAGATGGAAGGAATATACTGAGTCACTGTATCGAAAGGAATTGGAAGACACAGAAGAATTTCATGAAACACCATATGAGCAAAAGCCTATGGTGATGAAAGTAGTAGTTCAGGCTGCTTTGAAGGAAATAGCATAAAATAAGGCCCCAGGAATAGATGGTATGCCAATTGACATAGTTAACAGATGCTGCTCTGGACGTGCTCACCAAGTTGTGCCAAGAAATCTGGAGAACAACCACTTGGCCAACTGACTGGAAGAGATCGATATTTGTTCCTATCCCAAAGAAAGGTGACCCAAGAGAATGTGGAAACTACAGAACAATCTCACTGATTTCACATGCAAGCAAGATTTTACTGAAGATTATCCAAAAACGACTGGAACAGCACATCAACAGAGAACTACCGAAGTGCAGGCTGGGCTTAGAAGGGGTCGTGGTACTAGAGATATTGTAGCTGATGTTAGATGGATCTTGGCTGAAAGCAGGGAATACCAGAGGAATGTCTATCTGTGTTTCATTGACTATGCAAAGGCATTTGACTGTGTCGATCATAACAAACTATGGCTGACTTTGAGAAGAATGGGAATCCCAGAACACTTGATCGTTCTAATGTGAAACTTATACTTGGACCAGGAGGCAGTCGTCAAAACAGCAAGGGAACACTACATGGTTCAAAATCGGGAAGGGCGTACGCCAGGGATGCATACTATCTCCATACCTTTTCAACCTATATGCAGAACAGATTATCCGGGAGGCTGGGCTCTATGAGGAGAAATGTGGGGTCAAGATTGGTGGACGATTTATCAACAATCTGCGTTATGCGGATGACACAACCCTGCTTGCTGAAACCGAGGAGGACCTGAAGCGCCTGCTGCAGAGTGTCAAGAACTGCAGCCTACAATATGGATTGAGGCTCAATGTCAAGAAGACAAAGATTCTCACCACTGGACCAATTGGCAGCATCAGGATGCATGGTGAAGAGATTGAGATTGTACACAGCGTTAGTTTGCTTGGCTCTATAGTGAACAGTCTTGGCACCAGCAGCCAGGAAATTAAAAGGTGCATTGCCATGGGAAAGTCTGCTGTTAGGGACCTCTCCAAGCTACTGAAAAGCAATAGTGTCTCTCTGGAGACTAAGGTGTGTCTGATACAGGCCATCGTCTTTGCAATCACTTTGTTATGCATCAGAGAGTTGGACAATGAACAAGGAGGATAGGAGAATTGATGCCTTTGAGCTGTGGTGCTGGAGAAGAGTATTGAACGTACAATGGACTGCTAGGAAAACAAACAGATTTGTCCTGGAAAGGGGTTAAATCAGGTGGCTCCTTGGAGGCAAGGATTCTGAGGCTCCGTCTAACATACTTTGGACATGTTGTGAGACCGGTCCTTAGAGAGGGACATCATGCTTGGGAGGGTAGAGGGACAGCACACGAGAGGAAGGCCCTCTATGAGGTGGATTGATTCAGTGACTGGGATAATTGGGATGGGAGTGTCAGAGACAGTGCGATTGGCTCAGGACAGAGCGGAGTTTAGGGCTGTTGTACATAGGGTTGCTATGAGTCGCAAGCGACTCGACGGCACATAGCAGCAACAACAAAAGCAGAAAGTGTGCTTGAATCCACCAGTGGCTCTGTTACATAAACAATCTTCTCCTATGTGATTTATAGCCCATGAAAAATCCAACGTGGGGCAGCTATGAGTCCATTCCAGCAATGAGATGATACCATACAGTGATACTTAAATAAAATTCAAGTAATTACAAACCTCAAAAACCCAGTTATTACAAAACTGGTATTTTGTTAACTCACATGCATAAACTTACTACTGCCTAAGTAGTTTGTTTCCTCATTTTCTTCTCTATTCATGGCATTGTTTTCAACACACTTAATAACCTTTATTGTTTTATAAGCTCCAAAATAAAACTAGTTCACCCACAAGGAAACTTTGCAAACTTTATCAATCAGAAGCTAAGTGGAATGCCCTACAAAGGTTTCTATGCCCAAATCCTTGGAATCTCTAAATAGATTATATGAAAAGTAGTATTAAGTTAATCAGCTGATATTAAAATAGGGAGATTATCCTGCATTATTGAAGTAGAACTGTAAGAGTCCTTAAAAAGTGCAAGGAAAGCCAAAGAAATGGATTGTCTCCTAGATCCTCTAGAAAGGAATGTACCTTGCCGACACCTTTCTTTTCAGCCCAAATTTGTGACAGAAGAAAGCTAACAAAGGCTGCCAGATGGTTTGTACACTCATACAAAAGCAACAACAGGTTTTGGTAACCTTTTGGGTCGGGGGGGCTGGGGAGTTTTCATGGTTGGTAGTTCAAATCCACCAGTTAGCCTGCGTTAAGATGGGCAATCTACTCTTTTGTGATTTGCTGTCTTTGACAACCCACTGGAGGGTAGGTTATGAGTCGGTTCCTGACTAAATGGTACAAAACAACAGCTGCTCAGTGAAGGTTTGATCAGGTTGGTGATATGGAAAGAAATAGGATTGTGAAAAGCATTCATGATAAACAGATTTGCTTTTCTCTTTGGCAATTCTTCCAGCACAATGGTCACAAACATGGACTTTAAAGACTAGGGTTGTCAGCAACAGTCCAACCTTCGGAAATTTCCCCCACTTTTCCTGGTACCAATTTCCTCAGTTCTAAGGGTTCACCATTCAGGGCTAAGCCTGATGTATATAAAAGCACTCAACATAAAACACGTCAAACATGGGTACCTTATTGCCATAAGGAGTACAAAAAGGACTGAAAATGATGAACTTTAAGGAGACATCATATTGCTAGTCAGGAGACTATAAAACATGTTAAATAGTTCTAAATGGTAAAAAAATGGCAAGCTTTTTTTCTAATAGGTTTTCTAGAAAATAGGAAAAATGGGAAGATGGGACTTCATTTCCTTTATGGGGTGAACTTGAATCATTTTGAAAAGCTCCACATCTAGCTCCAACTCATAATTTCTTTTTTAAAAAAGTCTTGTCCTGCATCCTAACAAAGGAAACTATAAAATAAGGAGTTAAAATATCTGATTCTAAGAGCTTGTAACCTCAAGCAACGTTCATCACTGTTGTTATGTGCTATCAAGTCAGAACACACAGCTGATCATCCAATGGGTTTTCAGAGGCTGTAAATCACATGGGAGAAGACTATTCATCTTTCTCTGTAGATGTTCATCACTACAATCATGTATTTGCCTTGTATATATATCTTACAAGCGTTTATCTAGATCCAGCAGAGTAAGAATTTTAATCATCACAATATATATAGGAAACTACTGCCTAAGTGGTAGTCAGAAACTACGACCAAGGCTTTCATTGGTCAATCCACTCTTCTTTTATCTTGCAAAAGAAGATGTCTAATCTATCACTAAACCAGATGAATCTGTGAAAGCAGACTGACAACAAACATACTGGAAATAAAAACAATACAGGTTTTTTTTAGTATAACTCTGGAGATTAATTTCTTCCTAATAGTGAAAATGATGACTGGCTAACTTTTGTTTTAGAAATTAACTGACTTTTATTCTAAATGTTAATATTCAAAAGAAAAGTAGGCCAAATAAAACAAATTTTATTTATAGTTAAGTCCTGTTAGTTCAGAACTTTTATCATTACCTTGAGAGGATAAAGAGCTAAAGAAGGGAAAAAACCAAACCTGTTGCAAACTGTAATTAATCAGACAGAATGTCTGGTTTTTAATTCTCTCCTTTGTCTTTCATAAAACTAAGGCTAATTCAGTTTCAAAACTTGGTCTTTAATCTCTAATCCTTAAGAAAACAAACATAATCTTAATTTGTGGAGTCAGTTTATATTTTTCTTCATTAGTATAGGTACATAAAAATACTAGTTCTCTTTCTGTCTCAAGGGTTGGTTATCACTTGGCAGCTATAGCTTTAAATTACAACAATCAACAAAGATGTATTATTTTAAGGTGTAAATAAATTTAGATTTTGATTATAAATCACATCCATATACCTTCATTTCAAACAAATCTGAAAATGTGCAGCTACTGTAAAAACAAATTAGCGTTAATTACACATTTTACAAAAAAAGATTCACAACATACTTTTAAGAAAAGTTATGTAGCTTTACAGTGATTACTGATTAAGTCAGAATAGTAAAATTTGTGTAAGTATTCAGAATCATATGCTATAGCTGCACACTTTTTTTATGGGTAATACTTTACTTCCTTAGATGATCTATAATCTAAGGTTTTTTCTGAAAGTGTTTCTTTTTCTCACCTACAGCCTGACCACAGATAGCTATGCTTATACACTTTTGGCTCAGTTAGGTAAGAATGATGTTTGAAGACATTAAAGCTTTACAGAACAAAAAAAACTTTTAACCACACACACACAAAAAATAGGTGAGAAATTCTTTTATCATATTTAGAATCAAAATATCCCTTAAAATATTTACATTTTACAGTAAAAAGGATAGCAAAACACAAGATCATGTACAAGCTTAAGTATTCAAGTTTCTGAAGAGCCAAAAATGGAAAGAAAAATAATGGCCTACTACAAAGCTGTAGTATATGATAATAAAATACTTCTAATGAGTGCAGATTAAAGCAATACATGTACTCCGTGGACTTTTGATTCTTGGTCAAAACTGCTCAACTAAATGATTAGTATAATCTGATTATGCAGTTGCTTGGCTTTTGTAGTTCCTTCAGAATTCTGTTTTTGTCTTTTTTAAAAAAACAACAGTGCAATTTAAAACAAACTTACAGAGCACACACTATTCTCAAATTAGTCATTATATAAAGGACATTCACTAGAGGCAGTAAATATATTTCATAGTTAACCATATTTATCAATTACAGAATAAAACTAAAATTTCTAAGCCTTTATTGCATATTAATTAAACAATTTTGAATATACAGCAATGTAAAACTTTTAAAAATATTAAATTCCTACAACTAGAGAGAGGTGGTATGAAGAAGGGATGATGAGCAGTGGTACAGAATGCTCTGCACCAACACACAGAATTTACTGTTTTGCAAACCACTGACAGTAAAAATTTAAAAGATGGCACAATCCTAGCAGGCAATTTTAGGTTTTGAAGAGACAACATTTTATAGTTATTGAAATGTAACCTGGAAACAGCCTGCTACTTTTACCGTTTGCTTTTAGTTCTGTCCATGTGGTCCCTATCTTTGTGGTACCTGTCCCTGTCCTTTTCACTTTCTCTATGTTTACTTTTCTCTCGGTCTTTGTCCTTCTCATGGTCTTCATTTTTAGGCTTATCTAGTTTTTTGTCTACATTCCTACTATCTCTGCTTGCTTTTCCATCTGTTCCTCGATCACCATGTGATAACCGTGCCCTCTCTTTCTCTTTGTGTCCTTCCTCCCTGCTTTTTCTGTCTCTGTCTTGGGGTCTGTCTCTGCGTCTATGTCTTTCAGATTCCTGCTCCCATTCCTTTTCATGTCGCTCTCTCTTCAAGTGATGCGAATCACTATAAAATCTCTGGCGGTCCCCCTTTCCCCTATTAAATGGCCTATCTAGCTGCTGTTGATCTTGCCTACCCCAAGGATCACTATGACGTCTTTCTGGTCTTCGAATGTCTTTAACCTGGTAAAAATTTTGTGGGCCTAAATACCTTGAAGCCTGAGAAAGAGGGCCCACCATACGCTGTGGCTGGCCTGTCAGATGAACAGGTGGCCAGGGGACCATGGGATTTTGAGGAAAGCCAAATCCTGGGGGGGGAAGTAATGGGGGTGGTAAATGTGGTGGAAATCCAAACATGTTCTGTGGGGGGAAATTAGGAGGTCCTGGAAATGGAAATGTAGGAGGGCTGGATTTGAGATGAAGGTTGGGTTGCTGTGACCTCACAGGTGAAAAGTTTGCATTTGTTCTGGGGCTGTTGCTTCTAGGGGTAAAGTTAACATTTTTAGAAGGAAATTCCGATTGACATGTATTTCCAACTTCAAAATGAGATGCTGCTGCTGGCGTTCCTCTTCGCAACAGGTGTACAGTTTCAATATTTTGCATTAAAGTGTCCTCCTGTAAAGGTTTTGCTTGTTCTGTTTGAGAAGTGTGTATATTTTCTACTGAAGTTGAGTTTTGTGGAACACTTGAATTATCACTCTGCTGAACACATGTGTTTTTCTCTATAGAAGACAACTTTTCATCTGCAGTGGTCGGCTCTGGTATTTGCTCTTGGCTCTGTGACAAGTCAGGTGGGGTGTGTTTTTCTTCATTCCGACAACTATCACCATCTTTGCTTTCAGGTGTACTTATCTGCTGACTTCGTCCAGCTGCCTGCCTGGGATCCCTTTTCAGATTGATAAACTGTGGGGACCTTGTGTTAGCAACAAGGCTGTCACTGCAACTTACACTGCCATCCAGGTTTCCTTTTGTTATATGTGACTTGCCTGGAGAACCCATATTTGAAGTCCGGTTATCCTGTGAGTTATTCTCTTGATCTTGTGGCAGCTGTCTTTTTAATGTCCTCTCTTTATTCTCTGTAGTGTCCTCTTGTTTTGACTGAATAGATAAATTTGTTAAGAATGCTTCTGTAGAAATATCTGGTGGTTTACCTCTGAGACTAAGATTTGTTAAAGGTCCTGGAGAGATGGACGAGGACGCCAGCACTGATGCTTCTTCCTCTTCTATTCCTGAATTTTCTGACACTTCTTTATCTGCTTTAACCTTTATTTCACTGCCTTCAGCATCAGTTACTTCTACTTTATCTATTTCTTCTGGCTTTGGGTTGGTCTGTTCATTTATAAATGGAATTTCTTGGAGAGTATTCTGTTCTGTAACTGGCTGGGGCTGTTCATATACTTGACCAGTAGAGCCCAAGAGACTCTGAAGTATATCATCCACAGGAAGAGGTTTATTTGCTAATTCCAGAGTAGAAGGCTGATTTTCCCAGCCAATCAGTACTCCAGGAAGAAATCGTAAAGGTTTCGGTGGTTCCTGTTTGGTGACTTCCACTAATGGTTCAATTGCTGCTGAGAGGTCTTCATGAAGTGTCTGCTGAGGCTTATTTCTCTGCTTGTGCAATACAGCTGTAAAAGAATTAAAAAAGTCATTTTCCTCCTCTGGTGCATCTTCTGTAGAAACTTCTATTTTACTTTTTTTATCAGGTGGCACTGTCATAGGTCCACTTTCAGGGATTTCAGCTGTATGACTCATGCTGGCACTAGCACTATGCTGTCGCTTCAGCTTCTGACGAATAATTAAGCCCAAGAGTAAATTAGGTCTATGTAGCTCAAGCCCTGGGAAAACAAAAACAGAAACCACCAATTAACAGTCATTTTTAATTACTATAACAAAGACAGGTTTCACATCTAGCTTACTAAAAGCTGTCAAAGGGTACCTGTCCCCATACAGAAGTTGAGAATCACCATCACACCCTCTCCAAAAGCAGTCTGTTTCATATTGGTCCCACTTCCCACTTTATTTCACCTATACCCTCTCAATAAGATATACACCTACCAGGTCCATCAAAAGGCACAAGAGGGTGTGGAATTTTATCTGTGGCACCCAAAGGAATAAGGTACATATCCTTAACTTGCTTCATATTGTTAGCAGCTACTCCATAGCGTTTTCTGCTACTGAAGTATGCAAACAGTAAAGTATAAGAAATTTGATCTTCTTCAGTTACTGGTGTGAAACGAACCACACAAATTTCCTGTTCAAGAATAAGAACAAACAGTAAGATAAAGAAATTTCTTAAAGAAATCAGCTGACAAATATTAGGATGATGATTACTAATTATCAGTTTACTAACACGAATATAGATAAGATTATGGAAACAAAGTGGCTCACAGGAGAACATGGTGGTTGATCCTTTGATAAATTTGTATTATATGAATGAAAACACAAGAAATTGAAGTCAAGGTGATTTGTTTCATGTTGCTTAATGCTTAAGTTGTCAGTGGCAGAAATGACAGTGAAATCCAAGGCTTCTGACACGTATATTATAACTTGATTTTCAATCTTGTGCTATTTGCATACAGGAATTTAATAGCACTCGCAAGTAATACACACACACACACACACCCCTATCCAATGATGATATACTTTACTGAATCTGTTCTTCAGTAATCAGTTAGCTGTATAAAAGATCTTCAACCACTGTTGTCGTTATGTGCCATTGAGTCTTCTGCGAATCATAACAACCCTATGTATATTATCTCTGAATCCTGCCCTATCTTGAGTCAATCTCATCATCTCTGACAAACCTAATCCCATTTCTCCAGTCATTAAGTCAATCCATCTCATCCTAGGTCACCTTCTCCTACACTGTCCCTCCATCCATCCAAGCACGATGTTCTTCACCAAGGACTGATCCCCTGGCCAAGTGCCCAAAGTACATGAGATAGAGCTTCAAAATTCTTGTCTTCAGGGAACAGCTTGGTTTCACCCTCTCCAGGACAGATCTGTTCTCCTGACAGTTCACAGTATGCTTAACACTATTCTCCAGTACCATAACTCAAAGGCATCAATCCTTCTTCTAACATCCTTAGTTACTGTCTATCTCTCTGATGCACAACAAGTAACTACGAATACCATGGCCTGGATCAAGTGCACCTTCATTTCCAGACTGACATCATTGCCTTTTAGTACCCTGGAGAGGTCCCAGACAACAGACTTTCCCAATACAATTAATCTTTTGAATTCCTGACTGCTGGTGCCAAGAGTGTTGCAAGCGGAAGTTGTTAATAATTTCAATCTCTTCTCTGTCTATCATGAAGCTGCCAATTGGCCCAACAGTGAAAATCTTTGTTTTCTTGATGTTGAGCTTCCATCTGTATTGAAGATTACAGTCCTTGATTACAGTCTTTCATGTCTTCCTCTGTTTCAGCAAGCAAGGCTGTGTCATCTGCATAACACAGGTTGTTAATAAGTCTTCCTCCAATCCTGATGCTACAATCCTCCTCATTAAGTCCAGCCTCCTAAATGATCTTTTGACATATGGAGATAGGATGCATCCCTGATGCACATCTTTCCTGACACTGAACCATGCAGTGTTTCTCTGCTCTGTTCTGATTATTGCTTCCTGGTCCAAGTATAGGTTTCGCTTGAGCCCAACTGAGTGTTCTGGATTCCTATTCTTCTCAAGGTTAGCCACAATCTGTTGTTAATTTACATAGTCCAATGCTTTTGCATGGGATCATTGAAACACATTCCTCTGGTACTCTCTGCTTTCAGCCAAGATCCATCTAACTTTGAGTATGATGTCCCTAGTGGCACACCTCTTCTAAACCCAGCTCGTACATCTGGCAGTCCTTTGCTGATATGCTGTTCCAGTCATTTTCGGATAATTTTAAGCAGGATCTTGCTTGTGAGTATTACTGATATTTTTTGTTAATTTCCACACTCTTTTGGATCACCTTTTTTGGAATGGGAATAAATACAGATTTCTCCCAGTCAGTTGAGTAGCTAGTTGTCCTCCAGATTTCTTTGCAAAACCTGATGAGCGTGTGCAGGGCAGCATCTGTTTGCAGAAATATGTCAGCTGGTAGTCCATCAATTCCTTGTTTCTTGCCAGTTCCTTCAAAACAGCTCATTAGTTTGATCAAGTTATTTAATTAATTCAGAAATACTTGTTTGCCTCTAGGTTCCTGGCTTGGTTTCAAATCGCAAAGATATTGCCAACTTGATACTGTGTTCACAGTATTATAAGAAACGAACACTTTTGCAAGTAGATATAAAATCATACAAGATCCTAAAGAAAATGTTATTGAGCTAAATGAAGGTTCTGCTTTTAAGAAAAGATTTGTTACCTAAAAGGATCTCTTTCAAAATTAAAAAATACTCACTATACACAAACATACACACACTGTTGTTAGGTGCTACAGAGCCAAGTACAACTCATGGCAGCCCTATAAACAATAAATCTGATACCTGTTCTATCCTATGCCATCCTATCATCTCAGACACACTGAAGCATATGGTTGCAGTCACTGTGTCAATCCACCTGGTTAAAGGCCTTCCTCTCCTTCACCACCCCTCCACCTTTCCAAGTATGAACAACCCCTCCTAACAACATGCCTAAAGCATGTGAGATAAAGCTTTGTCATCCTTGCCTCTAAGGGCACTCTGGCCACACTTTCTTCAACACAAACCTGTTCTTTTGGCAGTTCATGTAATACTTCACATTCTTCTCCAATACTGCAATTCAAAGGCTTCTGCTTTGATTCATCATCCTTATTTATTGTCCAGCTTTCAGATGCATAGTGACTAAAAAAGACCATGGCCTGAATCAGGTGGATCTTCGGCTTTAAACTGACATTTGGTGTCTCTCTGAAGACTAAGGTGCGCCTGATACAGGCCATGGTCTTTGCTATCACTTGTTATGCATCAGAGAGTTGGACAATGACTAGGGAGGACAGAAGGAGAATTGATGCCTTTGAGCTGTGGTGCTGGAGTATTGAGAATAACATGGACTGCTAGGAAAACAAACAGATTCATCCTGGAGAGGGTTAAACCGTGCGGCTACTTGGAGGCAAGGATTCTGAGAGGTTCTGTCTAACATACTTTGGACATGTTGTGAGGAGGGACATGTCCTTGGAGAGGGACATCATGCTTGATAGGGTGGAGGGACAGCGCAGGAGGGGAAGGCCCTCTATGAGGTGGATTGATTCAGTTACTGGGGTAATCGGGATGGGAATGTAAGAAAACGACAGTGCAACTGGCACAGGACAGAGCAGAGTTTAGGGCTGTTGTACATAGGGTCACTATGAGTTGCAAGCAACTCGACGGCACATAACAACAAAACAACAACAACACTGTTCCTTAGTATTTTGCAAACAGCAGACTTTCCCAGTGTAACACATCTTTTAATTTCTTCACTGCTGCTGGTACCAATGGTATTGAGTGTGGATCCAAGTAAGACAAATGTTGACAACTGCAATCTTTTATCTTGGTGTTGTCTATCAGACCTCTGGTGAGGATTTTTATCTTTTTGATATAATCTGTATTAAAGGTTATCTTTCATCCTTAGCAGCAAGTGATTCAAGTCCTCCTCACTTCCAGCAAGAGAGGTTTTATCATATAAATAACACATTTGTTGATAAGTCTTCCACCCATCCTGATGCCACATTCTTTCTATTATGTTACAACTTCTTGATTTGCTCAGGACACAGACTGAACATGTATGGAAAAAGGATACAACCTTCACACATACCTTTCCTGATTTTAAACTATAGTATTTTCCTTGTTCTGCACAGAGAACTGATTCTTGGTCTATGCAGAGGTTTTGCTTGAGCACAATTAAGGGTTGTGGGATTCCCATTCTTCTTAATGTTAACCATAGTTTATTATGATCCACACAGTCAAATGCCTTTGTATAGTCAGTAAAACACTTCCTTCCGGTATTCTCGGCTCTCAGCTGAGCTCCATCTGACCCTAGCAATGATATCTCTTGTGACACTGCTTTCTTTTGAATCTAGCTTGAAATTCTAGGAGTCCTCTGTCAATACAGCTTCAGCCATTTTTAAAACAAGTCCACAAGAACCAAAATACAATCATGAGTGTATCCCAGCTAATTTGAAAACTATCTTTTTTTTTTGAAAACTATCTTAATAGATGTGAAGTACTAAACACTAATGACTGAAGACTAGATGAGTTCTAGAAGGACATCATCCACAAAGAAGGTTAAAGGTCATTACAAATATAGGGGGGGAAAGAATAGACCAAAATGGATGTCAGAGCCAACTCTGAAACTTGCATTGGAACGGGGGTGGGGGTGGGGGGGAAGCCAAAGGAAGGGGAAGGAATACTGGCAGCTTGAGAAAAGTCGTAAAGTATTATTGCAAATCACCATATACATTTAAAATTTCTAATATAACAGATTTTATAAGGGTTGGGACCATAGATTCGTATGCAGTTAGGCACTGCCTGATTCTATGTTGTAAGGCACACCTTTGAGTAACTGAGTACATCTGTGAAAGAGCTCTAGCGGTACAGGGTAGCCTGGTGGCTACCCAAAGGTCAATGATTTTAATTCACCAGCCACTCCCAAGGAAACTGATGAGCAAACTCCACTTTTTAAGGTTTACAGATAAGAGTCACTATGAGTCAGAACCAAATCAGTGGATTTGTCAGAGTATTTCCTTTGCAGTGGGATGATTTCTCTAAATAATTTACTTTCTCTGTGTATATTCTGTAACATAAGTTAAAGAAAATATAAGAAAAAATACACAGAAAAAGTACTGTGATTAAGGTTACTGTTTCCCAATATTGATTCTCTTCTTTTTCTCTTATCAGTAAAATAAATCTTTAACATTTAAAGGTAGAGTTCTGTAACTAAGTCTGTGCCAACTGAAGTTACAGAAAGTAGTGTAGACTGTAATTTAAGGATCTTGCCCTTAAAACAACTGGACATGCATTAGTAAGGAGTTGAGCTGCCAACCCAAAGGCAGGTTGTTCAAATCCACCAGCTGCTCTGCATGAGAAAGATGGGTAAACTTCTCTGAGGCAATTTATAGCCTCTGAAAACTTGCTGCAGGTTCACTTATGAATTGGTTTTAACTTGACCACAAATAATTAGAATAGTGCTGTGTGACTGTTACTGGTAAAGATCTTAGAAACAGGTAAATAAACAATACAAACAAAAAAGGAGGCCTCTTACACAATTTAGCAATTTATAGCTTCCAAAACCTGCTGGAGTCAGGTCCAACTTGATGGCAATGACTGAGTGTAAGTCACTCTCCGAATGACCCTGTAGATTTAAACCCTCCTAACTACCCTGACAGACTCCCATATTCTTTAAGTCATTATATTTTAGGATATCACTGTTAGAGAAGTTCAACCTGTACCCTAACAGAAACAAGTATCTACAAGTGAAGTAGGGCAAAATTGAAGAACTAATCTGAATACTTATTTTAAAGCATTTCTTCTAAATCACTGGCAGATGCAACCAAGAGATGGAGGGGAATCACACTGGGTTGGTTCAAGTTTTAGTAAATAATTTTAGTTCAGCTGTGTGGCATTGTCATGTAGCTTTACAATTAGTAGTGATTCTAATTAAGAGATTAGTGTCTAAGAGATTATACAACACTCTTTTAATAACAAGGCTTCTTTCCTCTGGGGCTTTGTAGAAGAGTTCTGAGTGGTTTGTTTCCAAGCATTGTCTTGTACTGGTACAATGAAACAAAGTTCCTTACCTTGGTTCCTGATGCTTTTAGTTTTTCTACATAATCCCAAACTGTCTGAGGTGAAATTCTGCCACCTACTTGAATACTATCTGGTAGATCCTGTAGCAAAAAAAGAAAGGTAGTCATACATATATAGAATATATTCTAATATTCACAATCACAGAATTTATACAAATTTAGCTCTAAAATGATAATAAAAACAAGTAAATAAAAGTATCATTAAACAGATCAGAGAGTATAATAGTACAAGGATAATCATTAGGTTTTACTTAAAATGCCAACACCAACTGACAAAAGTGGGTACCTAAAATAAAGCTATTAACACTTTGCCGCACACTTTTTAAATTGATGACCATGCTTAGAAACACATTTGCCATCATTTGCGGCAACGTATTAAGCAAGCATGTGCAGGCATGCCAATTCTTAGCAGAAAGAGAGGCATGGAAAAAAGAAGTAAATGTAATTATACCTGACTGGCAGCAATTCAAGATGTTGTTGTTATGTGCCGTCGAGTCGTTTGCGACTCATAGTGACCGTATGTACAACAGCCCTAAACCCTGCTCTATCCTGTGCCAATCTCATTGCCTCTGACACACCCATCCCGATTACCCCAGTCACTGAATCAATCTACCTCATAAGGGGTCTTCCCCTCCTGCGCTGTCCCTCCACTCTGCCCAGCATGATGTCCCTCTCCAAAGACCTGTCTCTCCTTACAACATGTCCAAAGTATGTCAGGCGAAGCCCCAGAATCCTTACCTCCAAGGAGCAGCCTGGTTTAACCCTCTCTAGGATGAAGGCTCTATAAATTTCAGCATACTGGGAGCAACTGTTTTTCCCGGTTTTACTTTCTTTGGTGGTAGGGGCAGGTAAGTATTTTTTCTTAATCATTAACATCTAAGTTTTAGAGGTTACCAAACTTAATTATACAATTATGTTTCTGTATAGAAAAAAGTACACTGCAAATTTTAAATTTTCTTTGAAATAAATTTTTTCTGAAAATAAATATACCTAAGATCAACTAAGAACTGCGCAACTGAGAACATGTAAGACTATTAGTATTTTCTTATTTTTCCCATGAATGAGAAAATCAAAAGCACAATAATTAATCTGATTTTTTTAAAGTATTAATAGCTTTTAATAATTTATTTGAAATTTTAGTCTTTGTGGTGTAATGGATTTGCTGTTCAAAATTACTTCCTGAGGAATTGCTTTTGATTCTCACCACATAGCTGGATGTGAACATGAAAATAGGGTGTTTAAACTACTAAAAAGATTAGGCAGTTTCACCATCCTTCGAGGCTTAAATTGAGCAAGTTTAGAGGTAGAAGATGGCAATTTCTCTACAATAAAGAAAGAAGCAGCAAAGAATGCAGCATTTGTCCTTCAGGGCCACAGAGATTGATTCCTGTTTAATTTCGAGATGGATCAAGATCAAGACTTCCACTATCAGTGGAAAAACTAACCAATGTGACGTCCCATGGAGCCAAAGCCAGGGGCTTTCACCTAAACCTGCTGGAGGACTACACGGTAAGGACTACATGGAGAGATTATCTAATTGGTCGAAGAGAACTTTGTTACACTAGTCTAAAGTCAAGAGCTGAAGGTCAAAGGGCCTGCAAGCACATTTGAGAAACTGTCCTGATTAAAGAACTGTATTCTGTTTCTAAGCTAAACTATAATCTTGAGTATGGGTTTGTGAGTTATGTGTGGCTACTGAAATGGATTAGCAGACCCAGGAGCAGAGCAGTGAGAGCCCTGGTAGGGACTGTTGGTGTCAGCATGGAGAGAAATATGTTAGGGAGTGTGACACATGTCTGACCTATGGGAATCAGTTTTATACTATGGATATTTTATGGAGAATGCTCTTCCTTGTGGAGTTCCGACCTGACTGTCCCCATGATGGCTGCACTCTTTATAGTCCTAATGAAATTAAAGGGAGCTCTGGTAGCCTAATGGGTAAAGAGTTGTGCTGCCAATGCCAAGTCACACAGTTCGAATCTATCAGATGCTCTGAGGGAGAAAGATGGGCAATCTCCTCCTGTGCAATATACAGCTTCTTAAAACCTGTTGGAAGGTCAGCTATAAGCTGACCCCAACTCTAAGGGCAATGAGTGAGTGAATCAAATTAAAAACTAAGAAAGGGAAGGTAGACCTCTGAAAAGTTAACTACATAAAAACTATGCCTCAGAGGTTTAAAATAGAAAAGGAGACGGGAAGGGGGAAAAAGAGGCTCAGGACTTATTCTTCATCTTAGAAAGAGATTATCTCACGAGCTGATTAAAGATTAAAACAAATTTGTTCTAAAAGAAGAGCATAAAAAAATAAAAAGAAGGTGGCAAGAAGATGCACTACAATCCCAGAGGTAAGCGGTTTGAATCCACCAGATGCTCTGCTGGAGACGGAGGAACAACCCCCTCCTGTACCAGTCAGATCTGATTTGATGGTACATACACAAAAAATAATAAAAATAAAGTTTTTTAAAAAAAGAAGAGCATCGTAAATAAATTTAACTTTTCTCTTACAATATTCGCATTTACAAATATTATTTATCAAGCAATCTTAATATAAAAACTATATGAAGCATATCACTGTGGTTAAAAATTAAAACATTAATAATAAGCATGAATAGAATGAACAGCAAAATAAAATTTTAACATACATACAGATTTCTTTTCCTTCTCTACATTTGGAAAAAAAATACCTTCCCCTCTCAGAATAGCTAAAAAATATTCTACTTTCATTTACATTATTATATAATAGTGAAAAGATTGCAGTTGTCAAGGATTCAATTTTACTTGAATTCACAATCAACATCCATGGAAGCATCAATCAAGAATCTTAAGATCTACTGAACTGGACAAATCTGCTGTCAAAGATCTCTTTAAAGTACTAAAGAATAAAGATGCCATTTTAAACACTAAGGTGTACCCAACCGAAGCCATGGCTTGAGTTCTATGTTCAAAGTACACTTCTGAGTGACAGCTTCCAGGGTTTCATTAATTTTGAATGCTCTCATTTAATGAGGCACATGCTGACAAACATGCAGGACGACGTGTAAATATTTTCATGAATAGTTTTTTATAGTTCTAAAACGTCATTTTAAATTTAATAATATCATTAATGAAGCAGTTTCAGGATCATGGCTAAGTCTTACTGGAAACTTTATGTTTTCTTGCCTGCTCCTTTCAGAAACACATATGATAACACAGGTCCAAGAGGGCAAAACCTCACAATACCTCAGTTAAGTACTCAGGAGAGCCTGACACCGGATAGGCTTTGGTAACAAACTTTGCTACAGATGGCATGTTGATGAAACCTTTCCAGATGAAGTTCAAACGAGCCAGGAAAGTCGATTCAACACCAACAGTTCCAGGCATCTCAGGACTAGAAAATGACGTGTTAAAAAAAAAAAGAAAATTAAAAAAAAAAAAAAAAGCAGCCTTAACTATTTCCATTATTCAATCAATCCATTTTCTACTTATAGTCATCATTTACTTTTATTTTAGTACATCAAGAAGCCCAAAATATATAAAGGTTACTAATTAAAGAGACTATTACATTTTCACTTCACAGAATTATATTTACATTTACCTATACTTGCTGCAGTAAGTCATCCTCTGGGCTTAGAATAATTTTTTTTTAAATAGTCTTCTGTTTCTTGGGACAAGTAAAATGAAAAACTGTTTTAAAATCTCTAGATTCACTTTCAGAGTATTATTCTTTTTTCTAATTTAGTTCAGTGTATAGGTAGGTATGGTTACTTCAATTATCACCAAGAGAAACTTACCGTGGAGCAGGTGAGAATGCTGACTTTGGAGACTCTTGCCTCTCATCCTCAAAGAATTCAGAAGCCAAAATATTTGAGGTTGAAGTTAAAGCATCTGCTATATTTTCTGCTTCATTGTCAGAATGTTTACGAGATACTCCAACGACAACTTTCACTTTTTTTGGAGAAAGATCATCTACAGGAGGTGCCATCCGACCTAACAACAGAAGATCCCAAAATAAAACATTTTTTTCAAGCTGTAGTTTCTAAAATTTGATTGATTTCTCACTTTTTAAAGCTATTATCAGGTTGCTGGATTCAAATTTTGAGTAACTGTACATTTTTTACTATCATCGATGAATAGATAAAAATTATAGCATAAAAACTATTACAATTACCACAAAAAAATAAACGTAAACAATTCAATTAAAAAATGGGCACAGGATATGAACAGACACTTCACCAAAGAAGACATTCAGATGGCAAACAAACACATGTAGTAATGTTCAAAATCCCTAGCTCTAAGAGAGATGCAAATCAAAACAATTATGAGATATCATCTCACCCCAGTCAAAATAGCAAAATTTAACAGAACAGCAAGCAATAAAGGCTGGCGAGGTTGTTAAGAAACTGAAACCCTTATTCACTGCTGGTGGGAATGTAAAATGGTGCAACCACTATGGAAAGCAGTATGGCGCTTTCTCAATGAGTTACAAATAGAAATACCATTTGACCTAGCAATTCCACTACTGGGAATATACCTCAAAGAAACCATAACTACCATAAGCAGATATATGCACACCCATGTTTAGCACGACTTTGTTCACAATAGCAAAGAGCTGGAAACAAACTAAGTGCCCATCAACAAATGAATGGATAGAGAAGCTGTGGTATATTCACATAATGGAATACTGTGCTGCATTGAAATACAAGGAACTCATGCCTTATTATTCAAAATGGGTGACCCTGGAGGACATTACATCTCAGTCACAAAAGGACAAATTCTGCAAAGTGCCACTGATGGAAAGCGTGACTGACATCGGGGTCGGGGGAAGACTGAGAAAGATGGGATGAATAATGTATACTGCATTGAAACAGATGAGGGAGAAGACTGTTTAAAAGGGATCTGTGATTAGGTATTATTGTCATGACTGGAGCTCAGAATGAAGGCTGTATAATGAATATAAAAAAAAATAATTATATAGAAATAAATAACTAAATACTTTTAAGACTTTTTTTCCAGAAAATAACTAAGTAGCTATGCTTCAAAAATACTACAAAACCATTGATAATTTTCTTTATGATAATTATTAATCTCCAGAACACTATGCACTCTCAGTCCTTACTGCTACTATATCCTTTTAAAGTACATGAACACAATTTAAAAATGGGCAAAAGGCATGTAAAGACTTTTCACAGAGAAAGACATTTGGATGGTCATCACACACATGAAGAACCACTTAAAATCACTGGCAATAAAACAGATGCAAATCAAAATCATAATGACATACCATCTCATTCAAGTAGCAGTGGCAAAGTTTAACAGGACAACAAGTAATAAATGTTGGAGAGGATGTGGTGAGATAGGAACTCTTACACATTACTGGTGGGATTATTAAATGGTACAACAATCTGAAAGGCAGTTTTACATGTCCTCAAAAAAGCTGAACACAGAAATTCCATATGACCTTGCTATTCTACTGCCTAGAATATACTCTGAGAAAACTGAAACTGAGACAGTAACGAAGACCTGTACACTTCGGTTCACAGCAGTGTCATTCATCACCATAACAGGGACACAGTCCAAATGTCCAACCACAATCAAATGGATTGAGAAAATATGGTACATCCACATGATGGAATACTATGCAGCATGCAGGAGCAAAGATTTTGAAAATCACTACCTAACTTGGGAAGGACTGGACAGTCTGATGCTAAGTGACCTAATTCAATCGCATAAGGACAAACACTGTATAAGATTATTATTGTAGACTGTGTATGAGGAACCAAGGGAGGATGAGTGGAAGAGAGGAGTGAGGATGGGCGGTGATTAATCACAAGGTCGCACAATTTGATGAGTGAAGGGAGGGGTAATTATATGAACACAATTTTGAGAATATTATCAATCATGGAAAATTTACTTAATTCATAGCATATTTCATTGTTTTTTCTAGAAAATGATGAAGGGCAACCCATCAATCAATCTGGGATTTCCTGATTACTGAAAAAGCATGTTTCAATAAACTGATAAATATAAACTGTAACTCTTTTTCTAGCACAGCCCTATTTCTTATCCAGTCACTCTACAAAACTTGTTGAAACTACCTACTTTGTTCATCTCAAAGCTTCTCTCTACTTATTTACATTTTCAGTGCTACCACTCTAATTAAAGAAGCTGTGGTGGCCTAGGGGTAAGAAGCTGCTCCTAATAGCAAGCGGTACAAATCCACTAGCCACCCATCGAGAGAAGGATGGGTAATCCATTCATGCGAGTCACTGCCTCTGAAAACCTGCTAGAAGGTCAGCTATGGGTCAGTTCTGACTTGATGGTATACAGTAACAATCACTTAATTAATGTATAAAGGCCCCTCCAGTCTACTTTGCCTTCTCTTTAGTATTCTTTCAATATAATCTCTACTTCAAATCCCAGAGATTTTCATAATATTTTGTTTCCTGTTACTTTCCTGCTAAAAATTTGTCAGCTGCCACCCACTTCTTTTAGCTAAAACATCACAATTTTAACATGATTTGCTGTTGTTGTTATGTGCCGTTGAGTCGCCTA